ATTGTGAAACAATTATATATATATGTTTGTTTATATGTTATTTATCTTTTAAAAAATTACATTGAAAAATATCTAAAGTACTTAACAGATCAATCTTGCTCAATCTTGGATTACTCTTCCTATTCCAGGTTGAGGTTAGAGATGACAAATATTCTTATCTAAATAAAACCTCCGAATAATAAATAAAAACTTAACAACCGTTTATCTGTCATTGTTTCACAATAAATTACTAAAATGACTATACGATAAACTATACAATTGAAGAAATACTCACGAATGATACTCTATAATACTCGAATGAAACATTGTTCGCCTTTACTTTACGACTAATCTAAATCAATTTTACTTCCCCTCTCTGCATCGTTGTTCAGTAAATACTCCTTTCAATTGACGCAACCCCACAGCTTCCTCCAGGTAATGATATCCATTAAACCAGTCCATGTAATTACATTACACGGCGTTCGCTGCTGTTACTATTCTCTTAATAATTTATATTTTCCGCCACGTAAGCCGCGTGGCAATGCTAAAATTACAAATTAAAATTCCGTCCGCGTGCCGGTCAACTTTTCCAAGACAGTCTTGCCGGCCGTACGCTCTTTCGTTATTCGCGTTTACACAAAGCGCGCGTTGCGTTGCTTGCATACAAGTCGTATTACATTATTCGAATAACGAGGAAAGTTTACCCGAGCAGACGTTTCCATTTACGAATTTGCTCAGCCGCCAGCAGGATCCCGCTTAGTTGGTTAAAACTTAATAAAACGACTCTCATTCCGCAACCATAACGCCACACGCGTAACGCATTATCCAAATTAAGTTTCCGCTATTCGAGTACTCTTCAGTCTTCTCCGTTGCAAAATACCCTTGCGAGGATCTCGTCTGTCAGAATTGGGCGAAATTTTAATCGAGTAATAGCTGAAGAACTTAAGCATGGAACAGCGATGTATTTCGAATATTAATTGTATACATTTGTTAATTAATTGGGTGACAAAACCGTTAAGATTAAAGAATTTTTTCGTAATTGAACAACGAGTGGCTAGCGTTCAATTTTAATTAGTATGTACTTGAGATAGAACGAAGTAAAATTGATACAATTTGATTGAAAATAACTTTATTGTTCTGGTTAGATTTAATGGAAATCGTGACCTTGATGTTAAATTATATTATATAGGACTCATTTGGTTGTGCTGAAAAATAACACAACCTGAAATAAAATAAAAAATTCGCCCAGCTTCACCTCGGTTCTCTCGATATATCCGTCGACCCAAATAAAGTGGTATCGTCTCCGGAAATCGAAGCGAAGGCGAACATCAATCGAACAGTAATCACGTCTGACCGACTGCAAATGCTAAAAATGGAATGACAATACCAGCTGGGAAAAAATTACGTGTCTGCCGCTTTGTTATTCCGGCGTTTCTATACTTACATGGAACAAAAGTTTGCAACTATGTCACTGGTGGTGGCTCAATCACAAAAGCATGAACAATCGATATGTGCCCGTCTTACAGGTGCACTGGGCTACTTTTCATAGCGCTCCAAGTTTCAAGGTGCTCGGTTAACCGGTAGCAGTAGTTGACAACTGAGTTTGACTATGACCTGAGTTAACTACCTGATTTTTAAAAGATTAAAAATAACATTTCCAGTGACGATGATCTTATGAAACAAAAGCTACTGAAATACTAAGTTTAAGGTCGATTGCTCTTTTTAAATTCTCTTTCACGTCAAGTGTTTCAAAATTCTATTAATATAAAGTATGATCAACTTTTGGAACAATTACAGAATTTTTAAGATCTTTTTCCCTTTTGTAATTTAGAAGAATTTTGAATTGTATTTAATTATCCTTGTACACAAATATGAATATAAAGCAGATACACGAGACATTCAAAGAGAAGTCTGGATAGGAATTTTGAATAACGACAAAGCGCGAAATAAACAAGAAACAATTTTGAAATGAATCATCCGTTGTTCGTTACATGTAAGCTACCTACGAACCAAACGACACAATAATATCACTCTATCGTGGATAATGGAGAAACAGCTTCATATAAAATTTCTGAGTCTAGGAAAATCAATCAGTGCAGAAAGATACTGTTCTATTCTTGATATAGTCCAACAGAAATTGTTCCAACAGTCACCTTTAGTTAATAGAAACGGAGTGCGTCATCGACGACATAGCTTCGATCACATGTGACATGAATTACGTGTGACGGATAACGTAGATATTGTGATTGACGTTCGAGTTTCGGAAAATTAAATTTTAGTCACTTTCTCGTTGATCACATTTTCTTGATTTTTCGTGAATCGACCATCATTTATTTGAGGAGCTAAATTAGTTGTAGTTGCAAAATGAATTCTTCAAAAAACCAGCAATGTTGTTAGATGGAGGAAGTGTATCAGAACCACTGCAGATGTTTATTCAATTAAGTTCTTTAAATATATAATTAAACGCAACAAGAAGTTGTTTTTTGAAAATGGAATTCCCGACACGCGCTTCCCAGCGAGCAGAGCTTATACAATGATTTAACGAAGGAGCGAAGGTTCCACGCGCTTATTGAAATCGAAACACCCCCATACGTTCGTTGAATTCGTAAAAGTAAACGCGCATCTTTGTCCACTGGGAACTCATGAGACACTGGAATTATTAATCCAATTTTCCGCGGAATTGCTCCTCGAGCGTGACATTCTCAACGGTCCGTACAAATGTCGCTTTCCTTGAACTCCCCTAACGACGCACTTTAAAAACTCCCGTGGCCTTTCGGGGAAACGGGGGAGCAGCTTTCGTTAACGACGAAACACTCGTCGTCCGGTGGCCTATAAGTTCTCGTCGCGCGACCACCGCCAACACGGATTGTTCTTCTTCTTGGTTGCCCGACGCTGGGATTTCCTCCTGTTTCCCACGACGCAAGAAAGAATTAAAAAGTTCTTTATACGTATCGATAACCTCGCGTTACATCAATTTCTTGTATCGTTACTGAATATATTTCGCAATCGATTTGCAATAGAATATGTAGAAAAATTTTGTGGTGGCTCCTCTTGTCTTCGCCACTAAAAGGACACTGCGCGTTTGCGCGTTTCTCTCAACTGCTCGGTCCGCCTAACATTCGTATATAAGCCATTCCCATTCTCAGAACTGCCACCACAATTTCTTCAAATCGCTTTTTCTTCAAAAGAGAAAAATTCTAATATTTACTACAAATCAGTCGTCAAAAAGTAAACATTTGATTGCATAGAAGAAAAGAAAAAAGACGCAATTACCTTGAACTTAATTGCAAGTGAAAACCACGAAACCATGGACTAATATAATAGAATTTGTTCTTATCTCGGTAACATAGACGTTTAAATAAATGTCCAACAATAATTTTCCTGTAAATTGGCAGGAAATAGGAAATGCGGTGCGGTTATCTTATGTGACTCCATTTTGGCAACTATACCTTATGTAATATCGGCGAGACAATTACGATCTAGCAACAGGGAAAAGGCGAAACTTGGCTGATTGACCTAGATCGCAATGTGGGACAGACGTTAATAAGTAATCGTGGCGGTTCGTGCAGATGGATTGGTATCACCATCGATCGTCGTGATTTATTATTTACGGTGTGGCTGTAGAACGGCGTACTCGTAAGCTCGCCCTTGCCGCTGCTATCGTTGGAAACGACATCAGCGGATGTTCCCTACCTGACAACCGATCTGCAAATTATTCGGAAGTCACTCCCCAAGTTGAGAGCAATCCACGCATTTGGGGTTCGCTGTTTGCTGTGACAAACCTTTAGAAAAATAAAGATGGTACTCGTAATACCTGGGTAGAATTTTTTTCACTGCGTATTTAACGTCGCATCAACTTTTAGTTATTAGCGATTTTTATTATAGATGTTGGTTCAAATATGCGCATCTTTGAGTAGCTGGATTATTTTGGATAAGTTTTCTTCTGTACTCCGTACTTCCTTCAACCTTTAGAAGCCTGATTTCTCAAATTAATTTAAAAAAAATATCAATGTATTTATTATTTGAACAATTTTGACAGTTGACGTTTATTTTTTTATTGTCATTTTAATATGTTTTTCATCTAGAAAAAATATTCGTTATACTTTCGTCCATATTTACACGATAAATTTAAATTTCCATTCAAAATAAAAAATTGAAGCATTACGTTTCATGATAAATAATGAATAGTGATTTCATTACTATTGTGCACTCGCAAACTTCCATACCGATATACGCATAAATTATGCATTCGATTACTTGCTAACTACGAGGACATCCACGCAATAGCGTTTAATTATTACGTTACTTCTCTTGTAATTAGCGTTGAGCCGATTACCGCATCAAGAGCCATCGGAAAATTGTCCATGTTGCTAAATGACAAGAGGCACTTAATGAACAGAATTTATTATCTTCTGGTTCGGTTATTGCGGCCGACTAGACGTTATCTATTTCACTGTCACCGGGATACACGCCCGACGTTCACCTTACGAATTGCTTGTCGCGTTTACAAGATGTATAGTCAGGGGGACGCTTTGTTACAGCGACTACTTGTGGAGTTTACAGGAAACAGAGTTACTGCACATCCGCATTCCGGAAGATAAATAGTATAAGATTTGGAGATAGAAAATTGTTGCCTAAATTGTATCAGACAAACAAGAATATTGACGAATGCATATTACACTGTGCAGGTGGAGCTACTATGGAAATTGAAGAGAGTATGACAGGCACCAGAATTTAATTTAGTATCGTATGACATTTTTACTTGTACCCTTATAAACGAAATATTTGTCAGGTTTACTTGAATTAAAGACAAGTTCTCCGTTGTTCAGATTAATTTTTGGTTTCAATTGATTTATGCTAATTTTTACTGATTCCTTATGACTGTTTGGATGAGTAATTGTTATTATGTAAGTTTATTATTGACTCTTACGTACGTTAATCATATGTATTCATTGTATAGTTTTGGTTAACATCTGTACGTAATCTAAAACAAAATTACATATTAAAAAAACGAACTAATTATTCGAGCTTTTAGATTAAAAAATTCGGCACGCACACTTAAAATTTGCGATTCCATAGCAACATTTTCTATTATGCAGCAATATTTCCGTAATCCAAGTTCTTTAAGCGACGATGGAAAGGTTAAAAAGATTAAACTCCGCGAGCGTGACGAAAAAGTTAATTGAATTGTCAGAACGAAACCGTAAAATAGCGTGCGTATTTCTCATAAAATTCTGCAGATATCCCAGTGCACCACCGATGACATAAATCGGAGCGAAATTATTCCTTGACGAATTAAGAAGCCACAAACGCCTACACGGTTTGCCATAATCCCCCGCGAGCTTCCTTTTGAAAAATATGGCCGACAGCAAAATTTTCAATTTCAATTCGTTGCTCGACTCGACAGAATATGCGACTTTTTTTTTTTATTGCGAGCGTTTCCAACACATTCTTGTTGGTCACAAAATGGCAACCACGTTCGAAAAAATGCCACTGGGTAAAAAAGCACAACAAAGTAATTCGTGTTGTAAAACTAGGACCCATTCGTGATGTAAAAATGTCTAGGACAAGGATCGCAAATTTGCACTGTCAAATCACAGTTTCTTCCTCTTCTCTTTATTTGTCGACACGTCGCTCACTGTGGTTCTCTTCCAGCCTTTTGAAGCTGGAACATCGTCGAGGTTGGCAAACGTTAAACAACAGACCTTCTTTAAAAATTGTTTTTAATCGTTCCTTCGATTCATAGGTTGAGTTGCATGAAATGTAATACCATAAACACCTGTATTTCGCTTAATTGATTCCGTCAATCTTTTCACTCTTTTTAACAACAGTTCGCGTAAACAATTACTGAAGGTACTCTCCGTAAAGTGAAGCATGTAATTATTATACAATTTGAAAGGCAACGTGGAACAAAGCAACGTGTCAAACATGTGTCAACTACATATTTCATTTGTTTTGTGTACTGTCACAGGGCGACCTAACGATTTTTATTTGTATTACTTTTTCATGTTTTAATTTCATTCTTCACTTGTGGTTTCCTTTATCTTTATTTAACAGGTCTTGATGTGTTTTATCATACATTAAATACATAATAATATGTGTACAAGTACTCCAATGCAAAAGTACAAGTTCTTCAATTGCAACTGATATTTATCAGTCATATTTGTTTGTATTAAAACATAATAATAATAATAATAATCTTGGCCGTAATCTGTATCCAAATCCTTTTCGTCGACTGTCTGCTGGATTAATTTCATTAATGTTTCTGTGTTTATTTCTCCCCAAAGTTTCTGTAAATTCTGCCATATATCGTCCTTGCATTTCGATAGCATTGCTTTCCTATCCAGCCCATCGCAATAACTCAATTGGATTGGGAAACGGTGATTGTGGTTCCATTTTTCTGATGACGCCATTTTGTCATTGTTCGTCCAAATATACGCGACACAATTTTGACGCGGTTTTTGAGTCAATGTCTTTTTGGAAAATAAATTCTATGCCAACCAATCTTCTTGCTGACGGTATGGCATGACCTTCCAATATCTCTCGGTATCTTTCATCATTTTTCCATCAATTTTGATTAAATCTCCCGTCGATTCCTCCGCACAACAGCTGAAAATCGTGGCGCTGCCTTCACAATTCACGAAAAATCTTCGATCGTTTCGTCGATGTCCAGTAAAATCTTTAAGTCCGTTCTCGTTGTTATTTACTCCAGTGATCCGTGATATCGTTGACGAAACAATAAATATTATTCTGCCAGACGCGAGAGTGATTTTGAGAAAGAGGAAACATTTTCCAATTCGGAATAGTGCGTACGCTTTTGCCTCTTTGGTCGCGCACGTTGACGCGGTCAATATAGCTTTCGGTCTCTCGCCATTCAATGTGTTTTTCACTTCGCGCGATTTCTCGTCGATTCGCTAGCGTTAAACGAAAACGACAAGTCAAAGTGAAATCTGTGGTTTGAAAAACACGATAAAAAAGGAACGCGAGAGTCAAGCTCGAACGGGATTTATTAGAATTCTAAGAAACGTGTACAGTGAATTGTGCTTAATTCTTCCTCATAACTAATTGACTATGCGGAACAAGAAGAATGTTTTAAGTCAATGATATTAACCTTAATAGACGCTATGCAAATAAATAAAAATTAATTTACCACTTTTTTTCTTTAACGAGGAAGCCCTTTTATATTTTAATAAATTTTTTAAGACAATTTATCTGTATATCAAAAAATGATCCCTCATTAATTGAAAAAAAAGCTTGAACTCGATACCTGTACTGGTTTTAAAGAAACTAGCATTTAACATTTTAGTCAGCTCACACCGCACGTTATATCGCCCAACGGAAGTTACTGTACGCGACGACGAAATCGTTCGGACGTCGAGTAAAGAGAAAAAAGTAGGTACAAAAATATAGGCTAGATATCGATATAAAAACGAGGTTGCATGCATAATGAAAGCATGTCGTTTGCGAATGTTGTTCGTTGGAGTGGCTTGCTCTTCCGGAAGGTCCTCCACCTTGTCGCGATCCTTTCCTTTCGTCGTTCCTCCGAGATGAAAGGATCTCGAAACGCGTCCTGGGACTCTCGAGGAAGCCGCTAATTATACGATTGGTTCCAACAACTATGATTGGACGACGTATTCAACGACGAAAGCTAAAATTAGTTGGGAACAATGCTCGATGACTTCGACAGCTTTAATAATAAACAGACAGGCACAAGAGTATTCAAAGCATTGCGTTTGAAACGTTTATTTAGTAAAATGCGTGTATTAAAAACGGTATGGTATATACAGCAAAGAATATATCTGAAGATTGTATGAGGAATCTATAGTATATTTATTTAAAATATTTATTATAATTGAAAATCTTATGATTTTTACTGTAAATGTACTGTAAATATATCGTTGAATTATTTTCTGTCTTGGCTCACAGAATCTTCAGTCATACTCCTTGATATGTACAGGGTGTCCTAGAATTAGTGTAAAAACCAGAAATGGGGAGTAGCTGAGACGATTCTGGACTACAATTTCTTCTGCAAAAATTTTGAAAAACCACCGACACACTAATTCTTGGACTCCCTGTATATATCATGCTATCTCAATCATTTCAGTTTAATATAACTTCACATTTTATTAATTAATTACTCCGAATGCTAACACTCGAATATTTTCGCGTATCAGTGCATAATTTCAAAGTAATTTCGAAATTTCACTAAGACCCAAAGCGACACGTTTTAATTTGTTTTTTTCAGCGTATGTGGGATCCAACACTTCCAGAGAGCGGGGCACAGGCATTTGAATCTGTTTCAAAGTACGTACTACGTGGTGGTCACGTTTTCCACGGTCGGTTACGGGGACTTTGTACCTGACATTTGGCCCTCGCAGCTCTACATGGTCATCATGATCTGCGTTGCTCTCATCGTGCTACCCACGCAGGTACGTATGGATCTTTATAAATTTAATTTAGCGGAAGGTGAATGAAACTGAACTGTATGTAAATTCTGCTCACGTTTGGAAAATTTCTTGGACTTTGTTAAATTAAGTTGCACTTTAGATATTTCATGGGGAACACGGGAGGTATTCGAGGCAATAAAGCTAAATCGACTACTTTATAGAACCAAGTATTTATTAATCTATTTTTATGCAAATGCATTCATTCAGCTATTGTCTGTAACGTACAAAGCTCCACTTTCTCTTTGCATGAATATCAATGGTCACCAGTTTCTTTGGCCCTGGCGTTAACAGAACACTGGTTTAACGATCCCTTTTACGATATTTAACAGGATACTTTACTCTAAGGGACCGTACAAAGCCGGGAAATATTCGACTTTTTCTCCTTACCATTCACTCCTTATAGAATATTTATTATCCCGGGAATTTCTGATCACATGAAACTTTTATTTCCCACTTGGCGATAAATGTTTAGACTGAAATAACGCCCATATTTAACGAGGATCGTAAAAGTAGAATCGATTATTTCCCTTAAGAAGAAAGAATTTATTCTTTTTTACGTTTGTGAATGAATTCATAATAACCATAAATTTCTTTCCTTGAATAATAACTAATTTCATGATACGATAAGAAATCTCGCAGTAATTTCGATAAAATCCTGCGGTGAAGCAGCTATCAATATTCCCTTTGTGAAAACTAATTAAGGGATATCAGTGTCAAACGCGTAATTAAATCGTCCAATAATGAAGTCCTAGCCGAATGCGTTCTCCAACTTGTTGCCCGAGGTCATCGACTAATGACAGGGCATCATATCAAAGGCCAGCTGTCGGACCCCTGTGGAGATCATGATGACAGTGATAACCGTGCAATTCATCTGTCAAACCCGTCAGTTGCACCTGATACACGAGTAGTCCGTTAGACAACCCATCCTTTGTTTATGTACAGAGCTATTCGTAGCGAGTACATTCCATAATCCAAAAGAAAGTGTATTTATTTGAGAAAACAAATAACTAATGCAGAATAGTATATTTTAATGAGAAACACTATCGTCGAACAGAAAATGCAATTCCTATAAAATAATATAAGTTGTTCCTAATAAAAAAAAGTTTTAATTGACTTCGCTAATATTATTACTATTAATAGTTTGGTAAAAGCATAATTCTTTTCATTTCTATTCAACAATATACTGAGTATCGATCGATATTGAGAAGAGTGGGAAATTCAGATGCGAAGTCAGTGTAATAATACCAACCAATGTATTTTCAGAAAAATCATAAACAATTTTGTTCCAGTTTTAAGAATGACTGTTAAAGTAAAAGTTACAGTTATAATATTTTTCGTTCTTTATTCGTAGCCTGCCTAATTTTATAACTTATTCGACGTTGATTTTACAATTTCGGCGTAATTTCTGAAACAGTTCGAGCAGCTGGCTTTCACGTGGATGGAAAGACAAAAGCTGGGCGGCTCGTATTCATCGCACAGAGCGCAAAGCGAGAAACACGTGGTGGTGTGCAGTACAACGCTGCAAGCTGACACCATCATGGATTTTCTAAACGAGTTTTACGCCCATCCGTTGTTACAGGTTAGATATTTGACCGCACAAATTACTTTCATTACTCTCGATATCCTAGCGCAGTGCCGTAACAAGGGCGTGACGAAAAAGGCGCAACGTGGTTTGGGGCGCAAAACGAAGGATACAGACTCGGTTGTGAGAGTTGCACGTGGTTTTTATTCTACTTGACCATTCTACTCTACATAAATCAGAACCGATTAACCGTTTTTCGACCCTTGACCAATTAGACACAGACACGTACATATTATTCATACGTTCACGAGTGATACGCTCCGGAACAACGAGCGGAATCCATGATGACCAGGATTTTTCGAAAATTTTCCCGATATTACACAAAGTATAAGATGCTACTTGTTACTCTTGGTAGGCAATGCCAAATCTATTGAACTCTTTTATGTTTTTATTATATTATTTCAATCGTATACCTATGTGTACATTTTCTTTTATTTTGTCGTCATTGAATATGAATAAAAATTTATTCTTATTTAGGTTGCAGATTTAATAGTATTTAAAATATTAAATTTAATCAAATTTAACATGTTACGTTAAAATTTTGTATATTATTTGTTATTATTACGAGGTGCAAATTAGATATTAGCCGCAATCGCTTCATGTCCTTCTTACGCCGCTGTCCTAACGTGTACATTTCCTTTCGCAATAATTTCTACCCTGTAACCATTATATTATTTGAAAGCAATTCTTGAACACTATTGCCTTGCCACGAAATTCTAAGTCCTTTGAGAATATATTCGACGCCAGGCTTGATGGATGATTTTAATCACATTTAGGACTATTACGTGGTACTGTTGTCGCCAATGGAACTGGATACCACGATGCGAATGATTTTACAGGTGCCCATCTGGGCACAAAGGGTAATCTACATTCAAGGGTCGTGTCTGAAGGATAACGATCTCACCAGGGCCAGGATGAACGAGGCGGAAGCCTGCTTTGTTCTTGCAGCGAGGAATTACGCCGACAAAACCGCTGCCGACGAACACACGATACTTAGGTTTGTTGGATACCAAAAAACTGCCGACAAATACTATTAAACGTATTGCGCCGACAAGGGAACATTGTAAACTGTCAGACGCTGATTTTGATAAATCTTTGCATTAGTGTTCATTAGCGCACCATAAAAACTATACCGTATTTCGTTGCCGATGGTTCTCGACTTCAAGAGAGAGATACATCCTCTATATCGGTGCTATCCATTTTATTCGCGGTCGTATGGACAACTCTTTAATTTAAAAATGTTTTAAATAAAAGTTGTACCGTTTTTGGAGACCTGTAAATTGTTAGAAGAACGTGCTCGACTATTATATTTTTTAAATTAATTTTCGAACATTTTAGCTGCTCATTTATAGGCCTCTCGAAACGATAAAACTTTTGTTTGAAACATATTTCGGTATACTTTATACTCATTGATGTTATTAAATGTATATATCGGGTAAATGTTTCGACTTGATCGGTGAGCGTCGGATTTTACAGAATACGTACACTTATGCAAAGTAAGATATTAATATTATGAATTTATGAAATATTCTATTTCAAAGGGAATATAGCCAAATAATCATGATTTAAACGTACGTTTAAACTACGTTTATTTGCCTGGATTTCCTTTGAGTTGATTTATTACTATAACACGCGTCATTTACGCCCGATTTATGAAATATTAATTTACATACGTGGCTCCCATATTAGCGTACGCCACGTATGCATAAAATTCACGGTCTATTTGTGACGAATATTTTCGCCATTAATGCTGCAGATCGTGGGCAGTGAAGGACTTCGCACCAAGCGTCCCTCAGTACGTTCAAATCTTCCGTCCGGAAAACAAGCTTCACGTGAAGTTCGCGGAGCACGTGGTGTGCGAGGACGAGTTCAAGTACGCCCTTTTGGCGAACAATTGCACGTGTCCTGGTGCATCGACCTTAGTCACACTTTTGCTGCACACTTCCAGAGGACAGTGAGTCGAATGAAAAATTTTCGTGAGAATTCAAATAAAAATAAAATAATAAATGGAAGAATCTTGTATTTTCACTTAGCGAAACAATTTCATAACAAACTTGTCTTAATTAATTTTATTACTGTTGCAGTCTTTCGATCTTTACAAACGTTTTAATATTTTTTGTTTTCTATCAGAGTCTAGTTCTTGAAGTAGGTTTACTCTATGAACCTAAAATAAATTGTTTCTTTCTGTATTATTAAAATACTAAAAAAGTTAAGTCTTCTTAATAATTCGATAGGGTTGATGATACCTCAGGCTAACAAAAATTTATTCAAAATTACGGAGTCCCAAGCGATGTTTATTTTGAAAGATAAATTCTTTATTGTTTACTAGGGAAGGTCAGCAATCGCAGGAGGAATGGCAGAGGCTCTACGGTAAATGTTCTGGAAACGAGATTTACCACATTATTCTCGGCGATTCTCGGTTTTTCGGCGAATACGAAGGCAAATCCTTCACTTACGCGTCCTTCCACAGTCACCGTAAATATGGGGTGGCGCTGGTCGCTGTCAGACCGGCGGAACTTCCGGAATTTTACGAGGACACCATTCTCTTAAATCCGGGTAACCGTTTTATTAATATCACTTCACCATTGCAGTATTTTCCACCCTGAAAAACATTCTACTTTTTAATTCTTAAAGGGTCAGACAATTTTTTATCTACTCTGTGCACAAAATGGGAGCTATACCACAGTTGTCGGCACCTTTGATGGCATGTTCGGTCATTAATAAATAAATGACATTGGAGAACAAGTGATATCAAACTTTTTAATGCTTGTTCGTGTCACTAATAAATAATTTAAATATGGATGCTTTATTTCAATGTTGATTGGTATAAGGAAGATTCTACTCAGTTTCACGTTGCGTTAAAAAAATCTGACGCTACCACATAAACTTCATGAAATCACTATTTTCAATTTACATGCAGTAATATAGGAATAGATTCAGTTTTTTCATTGAATTATCATGGACACCGAGGAAGAAAGGAGACATTTCCGTTCTAAGGAAGCAATGTCAACATTTCACACTTGACAGCACTATCTTCAGCGTTATACGTGTTAGTCAGGTATTCTTCGTTGTTCAGTAAGTCTCAAGGTACCTCCAGGCATTTCTCTAGTGCTTCTCAGTAATTCGATCAACGACTGCACGTGAGCTCCCCGACAAGGTAGCAATAAGATAATAAAACAGCGTTCATACGCTGTCTTATACATACGCAAGTCTTATTAACAGCTACGTTAGACAAAAGAATAAGTACACTACTATTCATCGGTGCAATACTCACAGCATTTAAACAATTTTTTGTCTAATGTCTGGTGACTTGTTCTTGTATACTACAGTCTCAGACCAACCTCTCTCATCCAAATCCTCCAAAAATCGTTTCTTTAAGAGGTCTCCCAGATGCAAATGTTTAATTAAAATAATAAACTTCCAAGAGTTCCACATATTGATGCACATCACACATTGTCTCATTTTCGATGTTTAACGATCGTGCTCAGAATAAAGGGGTTAAACAACGGAATCGGACCCCACCGTCTTCGAAATAAGTACACCGTGGTTCTTACTCTCGTTCCAATCTCCTAATCTAATTTGTCTTATTTCTTCGCCCTAGGTCCGCGTCACATAATGAAGAAAACCGACACCTGCTACTATATGAGCATCACGAAGGAGGAGAACTCCGCGTTCGTTGTGGCGAACAATCAAACCGTGGCGGAGGGTATGCAGGTAATTACCGAGACGAAAACCGACAACACCGGTACGGCGGGGAACACAACGGCGAACAACAATTCCACGATAAATTCTGGAACCAGCGCTGGAGTGACAACGACCACCACCACGATATCGACCAGCTGTACGATCGCCGGCGGTGATGGGAACGGTACAGCAAATAAGCCCGGTGCCAACGAGCACCGTCGCTATTCCAACAGTTGTAACAATGCGCTGAACGATACAGCTTGCTGCAGACAGGAGACGACCTGTACGGGGCCCCGTGGACAGAACGTGCACGGTACACAGGCTCACAGGGCCCCACAGGTTATTTTGCAGGTCCTCCCTAGCACGCCCACACCACTCGAACACCACAACATATTCGCATCCGATGTCCACCGTGAGTGTCGCATGCGCTTGCCTTCTCTATTCTTTCTTCTTTCGTTTCGTTTACATTCTCTCACCAATCTTATTCGTCTCTGTGTACATTCTTCGATACTTATGTGACTGCCAGAGATGGGGAAATTAATCGTCCGGATAAAAGTATCGAATGACGATAATTCATCTTTTATCCGTTACTTGTTTACAGCGAAATTTCAATGGATTGTTTGAGAAATAACGTGCTTGGCACTTTTTACGGTGTAGACCTAGGCATAGATCTTTATACGGAATGCATGTTTGATATAAATTCCGGTAAAGGGAGAAACCATCTTGGAATTTTAGTATCGCGCCCCCCCATACCCAATAATAAGAAGTCGATCGAAAATACGAGACGTAGGGTACGGGATTGATCGTGAATTCGAATCCCCGTGGCTTATTTTTCTTTTAGACTCCTACAGTATGATAATCGTGTATGTATTCGACAATTTTTGTTTCGGAAACAATTGGCTCAATGGAAGATCAAAATAGAAAAGCTATGATGCGATAAATTGTTAACATCTCTTGCAACAGACGCTTTTACTGTAAACTTTGTGTGAAAAATGAGATTTTTGTTCAAATATTGACAGAGTGTATCACGTAGAAAATATATGTACGTTATTCGTTACCTGTTATTGGAATAAAACGTTGCCCATCTCTGGCGGTGGATACGATTTGCTCTTCTTTTTTATTCGCGTCGATTCGTGAAGTATGAGGATCTCGACGAGGCTGATTTGCGTGCGATGATGATGGTAATTCAGTCGGGTATATTTTCGAGCGTGCGTTTTTATTTTTTTTGGCGGAAAATGCTTCTTTGCTTACTGTGGGCGAAGGCTGAATGATTTGGGAAGCTTTTAACGTTGTTGGAATACAGTAATTTCTCAATGTTGTTTTTGATGTACAAAAATTGTGGATATCGTTACAATGTATAATGTAACAGAAAATAAACACAAATTTTATAGAACGATATGTGACAGTATCACTTCAAAATCGAATACTGTTTGAACAATATATTTAATCTATACCATTTATAGTCTCACAACATCATGTAACTTATTTCTGATTTATTTACATTAAATAGAAACGTACATGTGTACATAAGTAGTTTTAATTACTATCGAGTTTGTAGTTTATGTTGAGATGCGGTTGGTTGGCATGCTTCAGCATTGCTTCTGGTTCTAATGTACGGAACGTCGTCTTGCACGTTAGTTAATGTAATTGCTCGTTGTAGTTGACAAATACAAAAAGTGCATGTCGAATGATCTAAACTGATCTTGTAATTGAAAACACTTCACCGAATTTTGCGTAATCCATTTGTTTCGTTGCAAGTTGCGATGGATATCATGATTGGAAAATTTAAAATTGTTATAAAATGTCCTAATTTAAAATTAAGTGAAATTAAGTGAACTAAAATTCAGGTGGGAATGTAGCTTGATCAGAACTAATATCGACCAGGAATTTCTTATATATTTTATAGCAGAAAAGCAATTTACTGTGACTATTAATGAATGGGTTAGAGCAACGTAGGGGAAGCTTCGAAAAATATAAAAGGAAGCACTTCAGCTTGCAGTTACTCGCAACATAAATACATATGTATATACACGAAACAAAGCTTGAGGCTTGAAACATCTCATTATTATTAAATGTAGCTCGTAAAATAATCATTCTATATATTTCATAATATAGCAATCTTCGCTGATATTGCAATTTTTAAATTTCTTTTATAGTATCATTACTTCTTTTATGTCACATCGATTCAATTATTATACTGCACAAAATTTTTAACGAAATAATTAAAATCGCAATATAAGGCGTAAGTTTGAAAAATAGTTTTTTACTTTTCATATTTATTATATTTTATTGGAATTCATTTTAAACGTAATTTCTACATCGCCAGGATTAAGTATCGAAAATATAATTTATAACGTGTATTTTTCATTACATGAAAAAATATATTCGTTGGAATCATTTCATAACTATACTACAACCAGAATAGTACGAAAACAGTTGACATTCAACTTTATTCGCATTTCACGATAAATTATATTTTTAATATTACATCATTGATAATAAATTATATTTTAAATATTGAATTATAAATCTGGTGTTTTGATACTTGGATAATACCTATGTAGGTAGTTATCCGCAACTGATGTTAAATTTCGCAGCAACGTACCTTGATCCCGGCGGATTCGGAGATTCACGGCAATGCCTGAAAGATGGAGGATCCACGCCACAGACGCCAATCACAGGGAATCATTTAGACGTTCCACGATCCATGGATCCAAATCCTAATCTACTCAGTCCGGAGATTCTTACTCAAAGAAGAGGTAACTCAATTCGTCATCGATCCATAACATTTTTCATGCAGTGAATCGGCGCAAAAGAATGCTCATTTATTGTCATTCAGCCGCATACGTGACTGTGATAATTAATGAATAGCACAAATTAATCATTATGAACACGACAGCCATTTTATGCTGAAGAAGGAAAATTAATATTTACCATATTTAATTTCTGAAGCATAAAGTACCGATGTGGCTGACTAATGACGCGTGACAGGTATATTTTTCAAAAGGATAATGTTTCACTAATCTGTTGATATCAAAGCTGCCCATTGTATACAAGTATTTTCAGCGATGTCATTTCACGCTGATTATCGTCAAAGGCTCACAAAGGCCAAGCTTGTGCTCATAAGGAAAGTACGGGAACTGTAACTCGAGTTTCCGAATGAAACTTAGTAGAGACGGAGATCGTCATCAAAGTAATGTAATTTGATCAAAATTAGAGGCGATCTCGACCGTTAGACGTCGCTGCGTTTAAAAGAATTTTTGAACCGAAGCTAACGAGAAAGCGATCTAATTAAATAATATCTAATAGCTACGTCGTTAACAAAATTTCGATGTCGAGATTTCGGATCAACTTACTATTAGTAATACAAGAACTAGTTTTAAAGTTTTAAAAATCCTGAAACAAACTAACTAACCATAGGAAGAAGATCGTTTTTCCAGTCACATGCACAATATAAATTAAACTAATTTACTTTAAAATACTATTGCTTGTTTAAAACGGTATTTTCAAGAGCTATCTGAATAACAAGGAAGAAATTTGCACAAAGCTTTTCAATTAACCCGCTTCAGGGAGCAGAAGACCAAGCATCCTGCCTGTGCCAGACATGCTGACAAGCTCGACCTTGCATCTTCCTGGTCAAGAGTCGTTGGACCACGAAGGTGACGAGTCCGAGGATGAAATGGACGACGACGTCCCATGGAGATCGCCTAGCGAAAAGATCGCGTGAGTATTCTTTGAATCGATTTTCATCGTCACCTTTCATACCACATGTTAAATCCAAGGTCGCAAGGATTCAAGGTAGACGGTCATGTGTGTGTTGTATCATCGTGAACACGAAGCAACGGATCGTCAACCTTAGACGAATATACGTTCATAGACGTACTTATTAGATAGATGAGAAACCTCGTTTCCTATCTTTGACCAATCTTTTTTTATATATATGTATTCGAGCACGATCGTGGAATCCTTAAGAGTGAAACGATCTTGCACTGTCTCGTGCACTTGCATGGCACGGTCTCTTGTGCATCGGACGTCTTTGTGTATTTTATTTATTCGTATATCTCTATATATTATACCTGATGAATGTATCTCCTTTATCACTCATTCTTATTCTGGATATATATATATACGATAACTATCGATATTAGTTTTAGGAAGAATATATTGGATCTTCGAAACATTCAATATTGTTTTCTGTTTTATTAATTAAGTGAATATTATAAAAATGTCACATATTTAGCAAAGGGAAAGAGTGGCATCAGAAGAATGGGCGTTCAAGTATTTTTATGTTAAATATATACGACTGTACATATTAAATTATTAAGATTAATGAGAAACAATGTTGAATGTAGTTATTAGGTACATATTAGATTCTCGAAGTTCGAAGATCACCAGTATTTTCTTGCAAACCTTTCAAAAACGCACTGTAAGATCGTACGACTGATCGTGTATTCGACACAAGAATTCCAATTCTATGAAATATTACTCTGAAATCTGTGCGATCTTATCAGTAGCTATATCGCATAAGACGAAGTTCGACAGCTATGCTGCAGGGAATTGTGCACCATGCTCGTCCTGTTTCTGCACTCTTTTCTTAGATGTTACTTCCTATGATTGTCTACTCGACGTGACTCAATTGTCCTACGAATACGAGACTCGTGCCTTCGTTACTCTTATTATTTATTTTAATTTTAATAAGAGTACAAATATTTCCTTTTCTTAAAATAAGATTTTTAATTTTCATTGCAATATTTTATTTAGTGCTTAACATTCCCTAAAATTCCTCCCAATATCGTTAAATATCATTCTATTCTGTAACGTTCCAGAAGTTTTATTTGCAGTCCCCTTTTAGTTTGCCAATACTTTTTAAACAATTCTAAAAATAAGGTAACACTTATAGGGATTGCTTAGTTATCCAAAATAAAAGTAATCAAAGTTCGTGACCATACCAAGCGTTAAATGTATTGAAACTTTGTCCAGCTTCTCTGCCCTTCTCAATAATTAATCTGTTCATTTAGTCCATTAAGTGTTATACATTCCACTGACCATAATTCGTGAATGACTTTGGATGTTGCTAAAGGTAAGCTCAACCGTTTCTTTTTTTTTCGACGCAACACAAAATTTGAGCAGAGAATTGTTTTCCCTGGACTGAAACTATCTGGACAATTCCAATTTCGAGGCGCGATACGAGTAACGTCGAGTGGTTGAAAAGTTCGAATGTCACGGTGACAAGAGACAGACAGGACGAAAAAGGTAAAAATTTTTGAGCGAAAGGTCGATGTCACACTCGTCCGTCATTCACCACCCGAAATACAATTAAACGCAAGTTTACGTTGATGGCCGATCTGTCCTGTCTGAATGTCTCTCGATGCCTGGTACCACTAATCGGCGTCGATGGTATTGAATCGCTGCTCGATGCTGTCCTGCCTGACACCCTATATGTCCTCGTGGATGTTTTCGATGTCTTCCTTCCTGCATCGTCTTTATGCACTGCGGTCTTGACGCACGACCTTTGCCCAGCAGTTTCAAGGGGTGAGTTTACGTTTTTATGCTTCCATATAAATTACTCTCGCAAATCTTGCTTCTTGCGTGGGAACGTTCAGGATTTGATTGTTCGAGAGATTTGATATTCTGAAATTTAAAACAATGACGTATCTGACGTGTCCGACTTTACTCATGATTTTATATTTTCCTATGTTGTTAGAGCAATTACCATATCTGTCTCTTTAATTTTAATTTTTCGTTATTACTCTATACCCATGTATAATAAAAAAAATTCAAGAAAATATTATTTAGTTTTCAAGAGCTATCTGAATAACAACAAATAAATGTTACTCTACAGTCAGTTCCATTAATATTCGTACTCTCTATGTATATCGAAGAAAGTTTTCTAGATTAAACGTTAATCCTTTCCAAATCAATTTTTCAATGATAAAATATGATCTCATTCCAGCAATAGAAATATGCTTCTTTTTTTATTCATTATTCGAGTGTTTCAAGTTCTGAATGTCCCTAATTGATTACTTTCTATTCGGAAACGAACTGGTGTATCTATTAAGTAGCTAAAATACCCTGGATCCGATCTACCTATCTGAAACAGGAGTGATTCACGTTCTGCGAAAGTTGATTAGCGAAACGTTTTCTGTAATTCAGACAGTTGAACTGAAGCTGTTGTACTGAAGTTGTATGTACCGTGGATTTCCGAAATACGTTAAGAAACGGGACAGGAAGTTTACGAGACGCGGGATGTCGGGCATATCTCGTAGCTTCGGAATCGGCGAAACGTTCGAAGCAGAATTTAATCGGCCTCTTCGCGCGCTAAAGTTCACTGTTTAATTCTGCTCGCTGAATCGCTCGCAACGGACGCGAACTACGAAATTGGAGTCGCATACGTCGACGCGAACACGCTGGATGTGAGGCGAACGAAGTTATGAAAATGTATTCGATCCGGCTGCGGTGAACTTTCCGCCCTGGCGAATTGATAAATCGACCTCGACGGATTTATACGCTAATAAAGTAAAGGTTTTTGAGTGATTGCACCAATTTTCAGTCGATGCATAATATTACCGATTTTTGTACACTGAAAGGATACCGTGGAACATTTTTCTTCTTTCAGTAACGCATTCATCAAAGTCAGCTACACCGAGTTTGAACCATTATCTTGTAATACAGCAAACACTGACGAGATAGCCACGATAAATCATCGGAATTCACCCTGTATCCGATACAAATTCATTCTCTTGAAAATAAAATAATTTTTCAAGCCGTAAACAAGCAATCCTGTTGGTTCTCGTTTTTAACGAAAAAATTGTCAACGAGGATTATAAATTTATTAGATGAAACTAGCGATCATTATTCGATCGAGCAATTCAATTTCTGTTTTTAGTGAAATATATCGTTTCCCCATTCAAATTCTGATCGTTTTTATGGATATGTTCGCTGATAGTTTCAAATGTATAGAAAATATTCAAAATATTCAAAGTATATTGAAAATAAAACCAATGGGATTGCTTATTTTCAACATGGAGAATTATTTTATTATTCACCTCACAAACAGAAAACAAACTTACAATTGGCACATCTTTAAATGTTATTCGCTATCATCATCGTGAATATAAATCATTATTTTTGTTTAACACTTTTATAGTATAGCGTTATCATTGTCGTCCATTTACCAAGCAACAATCCGTGTTTATTTTGATGTTTCATGCATAACATTACTATATACGTGCAACTGTATTTTTCTGAACGCACAAAGTCGCATGTAAATTGAATAGCTCCAACCCTGCTGTTTGTCTTCGATTTCAAATAGTTTTCGTTCATGTATACGTACAAAATCTATAAGGAAACACTTTTCAACTATTAAGATACCCTTTATTTGTTAAATGTTCGTTTTTGTTTGCCACAGACTCTCCAAATATTCCTCACTTCTCTATTTGTAATATTTAAATAAATGAAAACTGTTTAAAACAACTTCATTTCATGAAACAGCAAAATCGAAGCAAATTGTTGGAAAGTCTAGTATTTTCCGTATGCATGTGTATAGATGTCAGAATTATCTTCTTTTTATATTTTGTCTGTATTTTCGAAAATACTCGATCTCTCTTGATTGGCACTCGATTAAACGCACTCACGTTTCGATTCGATTCGATCGTAATTACTAGCACTTTTATTCTAACGTTTTAGTTTATAAATGTATCCACAATAATTTCTACACTATAAACTGCCATGGAAATGTTTTGAATAATTTTATTTAAAAGCATGTTTAACGAGAACATACTTACTTTTAACTTCCTAAGCATTCATTCTTCGAATGTTTCGCTTCCTCCATTTTCGTCATTTCGCACATTTGCACATGCTTGACACTTTCTGAGTGTGTACAGCACAATACGTGTACTATATTATTGTACATATATAGAGCTGTACATTATATGCTGCATTAAATAATACAATACGTGACAATTTCACGATTTTAATAGCTGAAGAATACTCGTGTAATCGATTAGTTTCCGTGTTACTGGTTTTCGATACCTGCGATGAAACACATAGGATATATGTCCCGAAAATGATGGAGGTCCTTGAAAGAGGTGGTTCGAGGTGTGATTTGAAACAACTTTTTCCTTAGCGAAAATGTTTTCCGAGACTTCGTTAAGGAGATATTAACCCTTTGTAGCCAGCAATTCGAGATAATTCTTAGAATTCTATTGCCATGAATTCTAAGCTATCTAGATTTAAGAAGAAGGTCACCTTTACCTCGCCGACAATCATTTTATCGACACTTGGAGCTCCAAAGAAATTAAACCTAAAGAAACATTAGGTATCGTAGATTTACTGCGTGAAACCTAATGGTGATTGAGAGTCACCTCTCGAGTGCAAAGGGTTAACACAGAACATCTACCAATCAGAGCGCGAGTATCCCGGTGGAGCGGCCGCGGTAGCGTAGGCCACGCGCTAGACAGCCGCAGTAGAATAGGCCACGCGCCAGACAGCCGCAGTAGTATAGGCTACGCGTTCGGCGGCCGCGCTCTGATTTTTCGAGGTTTTCTGTTAATATCTTTATAACGAATCCTCGGACATTTTCGCTAACGAAAAAGTTGTTTCAAATCACACCCCGAACCACCCCTTTCAAGGACCTCTAACATTTTTGGGACACATTGTATAAATAAACATCAAGAAGACATTTAATAGTCTTGCTAAATAAATTCTATCGATTCTATCAAAATCTAAATAATTTCGATTCAGTAAGTATAATGAAAAAAAAATACATCAAATGATAAAACAGAATGGATAATTTATTGACCTTTTGGTGAATATCATTCTCTGTTTTAGTATATGTAAGAAACTGTAAGAAGTATCTTTACAGCGTCAACATTATTTTGGGAAATTACAACAGTTTAATTATGCATCGACATTGTTACAGGATCGTCAAGGGATTTCCACCCGTTTCGCCCTTCATTGGCGTCTCGCCAACGTTATGTTATCTACTAAAAGAAAAGAAACCTCTTTGTTGCCTTCAATTGGCACAGGCATGTATACTATTTTTTCATTGTATTTTCATTTGCAAAGACTTTGCCACTTTTGTAGCGAAAATACTAAATATCGGTATTAAATATAAATATGATAGTGACATTAAGTTGAAGAGCGGAAAAATAAAAAATAATATCTCAAGACTAGACATCGTGCAACTGATTTTCTGTTTAATCGTTGAAAGATAGTTCTATAAATAAATTAGTAATTTCTTTATCTGTAAGATCAAGAGTTTATTTATTAAATATTACGGTCATATTCACTGGCTCTTTTGGAGCGAAACGTCTTAAAATTAAAAGTATTGAAAAAATGATCGAACAGCGAAAATTAATAAGTTAAGTGATATAGAAATGGTGAACATTAAGTTGTAAATAGAGGTGAAAATAATATTCTCGATTGCTTTACCAGGTTTGTCAGCACTGTTCTTACAGAAACGCGAAAGAGTACAATTGGCAAAACAAGACTATAATTCTAGCTGCTGATTACGCAAGCAACGGGATCTACAACTTCATAATTCCCTTAAGGGCGCATTTCAGGTACAATTTTCAGACAACTCTCCATTCATTTTCTAAGATAATGTGTTCCACTTTACTGGGATATCTCAACGTAACTTGAATGATATTTCATTTCATAGTTCATAAGCAAAATTTCTGCTAAATATTTGATAGTTATATGAAAAAGTAAGGTATTTTTAAGAAATATAGGTCAACGTTTATCAGTCTCAACAATCAATAAAAGTGCTATTTATTATACATAACGTTTTCTAGATTTGAGTCATCCTTGTAACTTTGAGTACGATGAATATTTTATCCAAATAAAAAACACATTAAGATAGAATAATAGTTTACAAAAATTGAAAATTGCAACGATTATCTATCAAAATTATTGAATTCTAAAAAATTCTAATTTGAGTTGGAAGTTAATAAGTTCATCACGTACGGACACGAGGCGGAAACATTTGAATCTTTATTAAAAATTCCCACCAGGTCGAAAACCTCGCTGAATCCGATCATTCTTCTGCTGGAACGAAAACCGGAAATTGCGTTCCTTGACGCGGTGTCTTACTTTCCTCTGGTGTACTGGATGCGGGGATCCATCGACTGTTTGGACGATCTCCTTCGCGCTGGTATCACCCTTGCGGAAAATGTCGTCGTCGTAAACAAGGAACTCAGCAATTCCGCGGAGGAAGATACCTTGGCTGACTGTAACACTATCGTCGCGGTGCAAACCATGTTCAAGTAAGCATACAAATCTTTTCTACAATTAATTCGATTAGTAATTTATGTTTTCCCATAATGCCTGTAATGAACTAGTATTAGATCCAGCGATATCTTCGTGTGGTTTATTATTCGTATCGCCTATATCAGGCGCTGACAAAGTAATATCATTATTATTCATAATTTTATATCGTAAATTGTTTTTATTCGTGGTTGACCATTCTTGAATATCGATGTTGATATACCAAGATGCTGATTAAACTTCATGAATAACCGAAAGTGATATAGAATTGATGACGGAATAATGTACAGTTTGTATTTTCACAGATTTTTTCCAAGTATAAAGAGCATAACGGAACTGTCGCAGTCGAGCAACATGCGTTTCATGCAGTTTAGGGCCCACGACAAGTATGCCCTTCACCTCAGCAAAATGGAAAAGGTAAGACAATCGTTCGAATAACTGACTAATAATGCAGTATTTTACAAATCGCTGATTGGTAGCTACACCATTTTTTAGAAATACTTAAACTAAGTAGTATGAGACACTTTATAATAATACTCAAGTTCAGTGGGGTAATAGTTAAGACGATAGGACAAATTTGCCAGGTTCGGAATGTAATTGAATTTTGTAATTACTGTAACAGAGAGAAAAGGAAAGAGGCTCCCATATATCGTACATGTTCCGATTGCCTTTCGCTGCTGGCAGTGTCTTCAGCGCCTCCATGCTGGACACTCTCCTGTACCAAGCATTTGTGAAGGACTACATGATAACATTCGTGAGGTTGCTGCTGGGTGTCGACCAAGCTCCAGGATCTGGCTTTCTAACATCGGTAAAGAATCAACATTCTCAGCATTCAGAAATCAATTCTAGTCGACAATCTACTAAATATCGTCTATGAAACAAATCTAACCGTTTCCTTTCCTCCATTCTTGTATTTTAAAAATCATTGTACTAGTGGTAACTAAAATCTAATGTCTTAGTTCTCAATATGTATTCAATATCAAATTTCATTAACAAACTAGAAAATCTTGCATTCAGAAATCAATTCTGGTCGACAATCTACTAAATATTCTCTGTGAAATAAATCTAACCGTTTCCTTTCCTCCATTCTTGTATTTCAAGAATCATTGTATCTAGTGGTAACTAAAATCTAATGTCTTGGTCACAAAATGAATCCCCAGGATATGTTTGCAAACATTCGGACTCCATCGAATATATCAAATCAAGGAAGTATCTCTCCAACTGGTACTAATTGCTTTTCTATTACAGATGAAAATAACGAAGGACGACATGTGGATCAGAACCTACGGCAGGCTGTATCAGAAACTCTGCTCGACGACGTGCGAGATCCCGATTGGCATTTACAGGACGCAGGACACCACCGTATCGGACACGTCTCACGTGAGTAGACGATCGTTTCGTCCGAAAGTCGGAGGATAACTAAGCGATTGGCTCGTGTACTATGATATGAAAGGCAGGGAACAACTTTCAATGGCGGCTGTGAGTAGCGCATGGTTGTACTCCCGCTCAATCTTTTGTCCTGTACTTTCCTCGACGTTATTTCCGATGCAACGTTTAACAGATGTACCCTACTCCCGCCCTCCACGTCCCGTCCCCGTCGATGAGAATCAAAAGCGTCGGACTCTCGCATCTTGTCGAAACGATGCTCGCAGCACGTCCTCCGATCCCTGAACATACTCGTCTCGTACCTGCATCGTGTTAGACATTCCGTTAGTGTCAATCAGAATGCTTCATCCGTCGACGAAGCGTTGCCATTAACATCGATCGATCGGAGATTAAATATTGGCTACTTTTGGCAGCGCACAGTTCTCGTGCAAAGTGGTTCGCTACGGTTACAAAGTGGAAAACGTTAAATTTAAAAAAAAAAAAAGAAAGAAAAAGACTTCGAAGTTTGGTCGATAACGATTCATTTCGACTGGTCACTGCGATCTGCGACAGTTTGCAAGATTTGCAATTCGCTATATCGGATCTTAAGTTTGTTAATGACATAAGTACCGATACGAGGCAATTAAGTGTGTGGAAGCTACAGTGAGCATTCGAAAGTGAAAAAGAAATCCTGTACTGAATATTTTATGATATATTCTTAATAAGAAAACGCTAGCTATCGTTTTGACGATTATAGGTACAGGATGGTTAGTAAGAAGAATCATGGCCACGAAACAAGCGATTCCTAAGTTCGTATTTTTCCAAAAGTAGAGGTATTCGTACCTTCTGTGTACATTGAAGAAGTTTGTCTGAATTAAATGACAGATGTGATGTTTCCAAATAAATTTTTCATTATAAATATATACATTAAGTTTATTCATGTACATACTTATAACGAAGCATTGATGTGGAACCTAACATTTGATTTAAACAAATTTCTTCGATAGTCATAAAGGGTATGAATACTTTATGAGACTGATTGTATAGTAGTTTGATGATGGCCAATATCGAATAAGTATGTATTAAATTACAACATAGTCTCAAGTCACTAAATCACAAATATTATACGTTCAATAACTCAATAACCACGTACACGACCGGAATTACAATATAACTGTGTTTCATTCAACGATTCTATTTTATTTTATGATTGACTGATACATTCCTAGAAACTTACAACTATATATCCAAGTTTAATAAGTGCATATATAAATATCAACATTTTATTGCAATAGGGTAACGTGTTTATTAAAAAAATATGTTTGATTCTGCTACGAGCGGACTTTTCGCCCACAGAGCGTTTGTTTCCTGGTCTTACGTATCCTGTACGCTTCTTCCTGCAACCACAGAGAAAGTTTGACGAACGTAGATGAAACGATAGGTCACGTTTAACGATTCGAACCACGAGCAGTGCAATGCGAAATCGCGACAACGGCGGGCTGTCCTTAGTAAGCGTAGAATTGCTTGTCGTTTTGACAGGGCGACTCAGACGCGGAGAGCGACGCCGGCGTCGGCGTGACGTACAAGGTGCGTCATTCGGCGGCAGCATCGTGCCTTGCGAATTGCGCCACCCGCGACAAGGGTGCTTCAGCCGTGAGTACAGAGTCAACGTTGTCTGGTCGCCGTTTTCTGATCGTTTTTCCATGTACACTGTTCACCATTCTCTCTGTTTTGTACTTTGTGCGTCGCCTCTGTCCCATTGTCTCGCCACCTTTTCTCTCTGTCGCTGTCTCTCCACTTTCTGCTCTTCTATCCGCCGGTATCTACGCTCGTCTTCCACGCTACACACCGCAGCGCATGACCAGTGTATCCACCGTGGCTTCCGGCCTGAACGCTCAGGATTTTCTGTTCGTCTTCGCTGTCTGAATACTCGGAATTGTTCCTCTTGTCGCGATCAAGAGAGCCCGCAAACGAATTCTACGAGCACAGTGCACGTTGACGCTGCACAGACGATGTTTCATAAAGACGATAGGCAATCGACGATTATTCGTGCGATTCTTCTTGTAACTTAACTTTTTATGGAAAGTTGAGTGATCGTACCGCGTAGAGATTTATAAATTACAAGGCTACCTTTGTTTCTTTCCGTGGCTGCACGTTGCTAAATAACCGTGTAGAGGACACTTGTAACAAACAGGTAAAAGACTAAACACCCGCTAATTTTTACCAGCTTTGCAGTTGATCTACATGGGAAACGAGTCGACGTATCTGTCCCGACGTCTGTTTGACCTTGTCTGTGGGCCTTCTTCTGTACAAATGATGCAAAGAGTTTTTCAGAAAGGACTTAGAATTTTGTTCTTTGATAACAAAGTGTGCCTTTATATGGCTGACGCTTGAATGATATTGCTAGACTGCGGATTTTTATGCATCTACAGGAAATTTGAATGTACAAGAAACTACAAAATGCATACAGGATGCAATAATATGACAAATGATTGAAAGTAACGTTAATATTATAATATCTTCAGAATAACATAATCTTTATTTAGCTTCAATTTTTGTAGGTACGTTTGCAAAGATTTTATTTTGCCTAAAGATCCGGAGATAATTTATAAAATAAATTCATTCAAAGAATCCACTTAATTATACGTCGTCGTATAAGTAACTTTCCATATTTGCAACTCGATTTTTGCCTCTTTATCTCAATCTCAGCCTAATTTTTTCTTAAATATATTTGCACCGAAGGAAACCAATATTCAAGGTCGAGAGAATTTTATCACCACACGCTTGCACCATTTTCGTACCAAATTTGGTCTTTGAAAATATTTATCAGCTCGAACAATCTAAGTAATCAAGCATCCGATCTCTCAAAATTAACAAGCCTGTTCAATCTAACGCAAGAGTCCATCGCACAAGATTCTGACAAACATATTGCCCTGTCAATAATTTATTAACCAACGATCTGTCCGTTGAAGCGTCAACAGCGCGTTAACACGTTGACTGCCAGACAGATTCTCTTAAAAATTCCTACTGCGATTAAATTTCATTTACAAACAATTAGAAATTACATAATCAAACATTTATTATACTATTAATTTTTGTAATTTCACCGAGATTCAAGTATTTCATTCGATTACATTTTCTTTGACACGTAACTTTCGAAACTAATTTCTTTAGTTCTCCAGTGAAGATAATAGATACTGCCACCCACGTATGGGTGACACGGCGTTCAATGTGTTAAGCCAACGCGTTAAACAAATGCTCCGAGAGCAACAACCGCCGCGACTCGCGACTAAAGAACATTATTTCTCTTCTTTGCACAGTATTCCGTGAGCCTCGGCGACGAAGCCCGCGACAATCACGCCCAGCAAATCGAGAGGGCCGAGATCGCGAACCTGGTCCGTTCCCGGATGGAGTCGCTGAACCTGCCAGTGGCCGACTACGACGACGTCTCGGAGAAACGGAACAGTCTGTCCTACGTGATCATCAACCCCAGCTGCGACCTGAAGCTCGAGGAGGGCGACATCGTCTACTTGGTGCGGCCCAGCCCGTTCTCCGCTCAGAAAACGTTCGAGAGGCACAACTCGCGACGGAAGAGCAACATCAGCTTCTGCTCAGCCCAGCTGGTGTCGCAGATGAGCGCGGCGGTGGCTTCGGCAGGCCTGCCCGGTGCTGGAGCAGGAAGCCGTCGAGGATCGGGGATAGGTTTGCCCAGGGCTCCTCCACTGGGCACCACCAAGTCGAACTCGCTCTCCTTACCCGATAGCCCTACAGTGGCTGGCACGTTGCGCGGCCGGTCGAACTCCCTCAGAGTGGTCGACGACATTCTGCTCAGACGCAGCAACTCGCTGAGACAAGGGCTCACGATGAGCAGGAGGAAAAGCAGCCTGGAGGACATAGGTCTGGGCGCGTTGTCGCATCCCTCTAACCACAACCCGATCAAGATCGCGCTGAACGGATCCATCGGTCTGGAAGTGACTCCGCCCGAGGAGTGCTCGCAGGCTATGGGCGCAAGCAACACGGGCATCCTGGACGTCGGACTGCCGTCCATGCCAGAGCTGACCGCTGCCCTCAGCTCGAACCTTGGCACCGGTCTGGGCGGCTCCCTCGGCGGTCTCTACGACCCACCGAGCCTACAGTATCCCATGGGATCGCCGTCGCAGTCGCCGCAGATCCCTAGCGGCACGCAGGATCCTCAGCACATACAAGGGACGATCGTATGATATAACCTTATGTGGGGACGCAGGCTCTCCGGCGTGGTTCGAAACAAATGGCTGTAAGCGTTCCCACATTATACGTCAAGATCACTCTAATGGGTGTCGCGATCGCGTTGTCCGCGGCATCCCGACTAACGACGAATCAGGACTCGCTCGTGCTGTCTACTGTTCGTGTCAGGAGAGTTGGTAGTCTGGTACGGATAGCAGGAAGTGGTATTCGGTAGTTGAAGAGTGATTGGTCAGGTGTAGATTATACAAACGTGAGAGGTTTGTTACGGAAATGGTACGAAGTTAATTTTGTTGAAATTGTTACAATTTCAAAACATTCAAGTATGAGCTTTTCGCTATCCAATCGCTCTCAAATTTTGTGGAAATTAATTCTGAAGCTAATCTCCAGCAGTGTTCAAGACGTTTTCTCTGGGGTTAGCTTTTACTGGTGGAGTTTAATACAACACCACTAAGAGTGCAAACCTTAACAGGTTGACTGCCAGACTAATACTCTTGAACATTTCTACGGTGATCAAGTTTTGTTTTCAGACTATTGGAAGCTACACAATCAAACATTTATAGTGGTATTTATTTTTATAACTTCGTTGAAGTTTAAGAATTTCATTCAAATTTATTTTCTTTAGCACTTAACATTCAGGATTAATTTTGTTCGTTCTGCAGTGAAAAGCACTGTCACCCATACAGTCAGTCCCATAAATATCCGTAACCTCTATGTCTATTAAAGAAATCTGTTTAAATTCAATTTGTTTAAATTAAATGGTAGGTTTGATGTTTGATGATTTATATATCAAGCAATATCAAAACTATTATATAATTTAGTCAAACTTCTTCAATAGACACAGAGGGTACGAATATTTATGGGATCGACTGTATATGGGTGACAAGGGTTTACACTGAGGAATAAATAAATTAACTCTGAAAGTGAGGTGTTGACAAAAATTAATTTGTATATGACTAGTAAGTTCCAAAGAGATCGCAAAAGCAAATACTACCACAGGTGTAATATTATGTCATTCTTCAATTGTATAGAAACAAAACTTCAGCTCCATGCGAATTTTCACGATTGAGAGTACTGACATATATTCACGCCAGAATAGGGCGATGCTAACCGAACTTTTAGACAAGGAAAAGTCGATAGCACGAGTGAGCCTTTAGGTGGGACTGAACGGTGGCAACTATCATGGATAGTGAGACGGCCGGAGAGCAAGGTGTTTCAGTGACACTTGGAAGACACGGTGACCGGGACCGATTAGCACCGGTGAGCACCTAGACGAATTTTTTTACTCTGTTCCTTGCATAGTTTCAATTAGCCACGCAATGACGGTATTCATTTATGCGAACTCGGGGACCTAAACGCGGCGTCGTAGAGTCGCGACTGTGATACGCCAGAACGCTGGATTTATTTGCGCGCGTCGGCAGGGCTGAGCTTTGCTATTCGCTTTGAGTGATTAGGTAACTCTGACAAATAATTAATCGGATGAAGGGGTTGTAAGAATGAAAAGGGTGACTTGATCTCTCCGATAGTCCGTTATGTTCCTCTTCTTAATTAGTTATTCTTTCTCGATTCATTTAGCGACGTACCTTTTTTAATTAATGTTAGAGTTAATGTCTGTACCTCAGAGGGAAGCTATATTAAATTTTGAAAATTGAATCTTTGAACTAACAGTGAAGGATATAACATTACTCGAGTGTCTTATGTAAATTTTCAAAATGAACTGACATAGTTTACTTCAAACGAATACAGCTACAATCTCTTGACATTTTGAACATCTCCGAGTGACAATTGAATATCGAAAACAAAACTTGAACGAATTTTCAAACCAACCCAATAGCAAATCAATTATTTTACTATCTCTCACAAGTCGCGTGTCACAAGCGAATGGAACAAAGACTGAATAATTCTTTGATCGGAGGTTTCGGTTCTAGCAACGCCCAGCCTTGTCGACGTGCAGTCGTTTCATCGAAGCTACGATACTACTTTAGCGATAATTCTCTCTACGTAGATAGTACAAACACACTTTCCGAGCAACCTGATTTCGATTTGTTGCCGGATATCGAACAGATCGCGCGCTGTTGCGAGTTTTATTTAAAAGTATCCCATTGATAACATTGCGGTGTGTGCGTAGTGGGCGTACGTTCTTAAAACGTTTTGCTCTCTAGTCGGCTCTTGCGTCTCGACCTCCGTACATCCGATCGAATTATTCGTAGCGATCCAGATGATCACAGCATGCGCGATGGTTCATGCCAAAGGTCCAGTAACGCAATTGATAAATTCGAGACGATTACATTTGTAGAATAAAGAAACGAAAGTGGTGGCGATGGGACAAGAGTCTCTTACAGGTTCTTCAATGATTTCATTTGCACTTGGTATTTTCTTGTTTATTTTCCAAATAGATTTTAGCCATGATGCTTCTTCAAACATATTTAACATAATTATTATATATGACATACTTGTGAATGGTACAATTTACATAAAAATCAAAGGTTAAATAATTAAAGTGTGCATATTCACTCGTACTTCGTAATATAGACAAAAAGAGGATGATTTCTGATGCAAAAGTACGTAAAAGATGTAAAATTAAATTTTCTTCAGCTACTAACGTCGTACAATACAAATTTGTTTAATATCATACGTATCAAATATTTCACATTTATAAGTATTAATTTGGAAACATATAGAAGTGTTCTTTCGCATAATGTAATTATTATTAACGTTCAAAAATATTACGAAAAAAGGAAATAGTTTTTTCAAAGGTCTCCAAGACTAGTAAAATTAAACAAATGAAAAATTTGTACGCTCAGCAGACATTAATTTACTTAGTTCAATCGTACTTGTAACGTTATCAAAGAAAGGGATTCTTGTCCCTCGTCGAATGTCATATTTTCTCGAGGTAGCTAACGTGTGTAGGCGAAAAACGTGAAGTATTTCCCTAGCGCAAGCCCCGAATTCTTACGTAGGGTCTCGTTCCGCGGATGAACGCGAAATAATTTTATACTAGAACAAATTTACGACGAGAGTATATTATATAAATATATGAAATATACGACCATTTTAATCATATCACGCGAGAGAGAGAGAGACACACCAACCGAGGTCGAAATCATTATATCGTGCGTGTATAGGACGACGTGGACATTAGACGAGTACTAGGATTACCGAATCGAGGTTTCAGGACTAATTTAGGAACAGGACTCGCTTCCGCGCGGATAATTGAAATCCCCGCGAATCCGTCGTGGTCTTGGTAACTCTCTGTTCGCCGTTTACAAGACGCGAAAGATAATCGATTATATCGAGAATGTAGTGCGATTCTACCGAAAGAAGGTTACTACGTGAACTCCGTTTTCTTCTCTTCTGTTAGTTTAAAAAAAAAAAAAACAAGCAGTCTTATCCGTACAATCTTATCAAAGTTTTCAAGTACGTCGTTTGTTGAGAAGAAATCGTTTTATTCTTAGCGACGAAAGAGCAAAAATGTTTCGACAATCCGTTCAATCAGTTAGTTAAACGTAGGACGTCGTTTAGACTCAGAGATGTATCTATTTGTTGACTCGACGCTTCGAGCCAAACGCAATCGTTTCTCGACCAATTTACACGTTTTCCCGACCAAACGTCGTCTTTTCGAGTACCTGCTTTGATGCTGCTTCCGCTATGCCCCCACAGGTTTGGCGATTCAATTATCAACGCTCGGATTGGTTTCGCTTTGTGGTCCACAATGAAAATATCACCAAACGTGACGAGCATTCTTCAGGAAGATGAATTTAAAGTCGCGCGAAGTTCGATCGAATTCACACAGAACAGAGATAGCACTACAAAAACGTAATCCTAAACCTATTTTTCCCTTCATAAAAATTAAATACTACGACAAATGGTAGATTATCTGACTTTCAATTGTCTCGAGGTAAAATTTGAACCGTCCAGAAATAATCACGAATCTTAAGTCTGGCAATTTTTGGATCACAACTGAATCAAAATTAGTTTTTACTACTATATTACAATTGAATTGTGATCAATTCATCGAAACAAAATATCTGCAGTTTTCATTGCGACACACAGCGAAACGAATCTCGATAGATCTCCTTCGATCCCTATAATTTACATATTCCTTATTCTATTTAACCTAAATACTAATGGATTCTCGTGGCAGCTTGTCTCAAATTCGAAGACGCGCCGCGAGCATTTACATTGTCTCTTAAATATTTCTCTGGCCCGCTCTCTGCATCTTTAACTTTCTCTCCTTCATTAACTCTCTGTCTTTCTTACCTTGATTAGAGTAACGAAACCCGTCCCGACCACGAATGTCTATTACCTTCGTTGACGTTGGTGACTCGTGGAGTTTTGTACATATTTCACAGACAGCCGAGCTATTTTTCAGAGATAAAAACGATGATATTCTATAGTCTACGATGGAATGTGGTTTGTTTAATCCGCGTCGAAGACCTTCGTGTTCTCTGATCCCAAAAGCGATTTGTTTCGAGAAACTGAGACGTGAATGTTTGAGTGAAGCGACAGGGAAGTACGACTGGAAAGCGACATTCAATTCAACGGAGATGATCCGAGTGAATATTGACTGTACACTATAGCTTCGTAATCCTCTGTAATCTGACGTTGATGTGTTAAACACGTAGCTCTAGTTTTGACATTTAAACAAATGGATTTTCTTATTTTTGAATTTTTCCAAAGGTATAAGTTCTGAAGACATTAGCAATGATTTAGAACTAAATCCCTTCCGAAGTCATTTCTCTCAACTTTCAAAATATATCGATAAATAATCGTCAATTGTATTTATATTTATAATTGCAACATATTTCAATTAATCAACGAGTCAGGTTATACAGGATTAAATTAAGAATGCACGGTCTTCAATATTTGTGCAACGAAATTGCGAAGTGCAGTTTACGCACAGACACGGTTCGAACAGAAATAACAAAATCTCGACGCAACGTACTCGCATAAAATTACGAGTTACAATCGAATCTCGCATTCGTCGACTTCAAAAGAATGACGCGACGTCTCTGCCGACTCGACGATCGAAGAAAAATAACGAAACGAGGAGAACAATAAAAACAAGAACGCGGAAACTGTAGTTAAGGGAAACAAAAGATTAATCGAAATTATTTAAAGGACTAACAAAGACGTTGTTCCAACAGTGTACATAGATTAATTGCCATAGGATCGATCGAAAACCAATGTGACCTGAAATTAAAGCGAATAGCGTGTTGTTACGGCGCGTTGTCGTTTACTACACCTACGTGAAAGTGAACTGTTACGAGTGTACGTGAGGTATCCTAAGTAGGATCGAAATCAATTGATCGCTCGTGGCTAATGAGAGGTTGTCCCACTCCTTCGCTCGAATCTGCTTCCACTCTGTCTCCCCTCTAATTTGACTTATTGAAGATTCTCACACAATCTCTACAATCAATTTTTATATCGGGAAAAAGGATTTTGAGGTTTTTTTTTTAAGTTTATTACAAAAGTAATTATAAAGTAATTAGGTAATTACTACCCAACTCCGTGCAGATAGGCGTTAGAACTTCGAGCGATCATTTGCGTTTGATCCAACTACAATATTCTGAAATAAGCGAGCAATTGTCACATGGTACTGTTTACATTTGTATAAACATTAACGAAACCGTAGGACGCAAAACTGGCGTCCACGATGGATATTGAAATTTTCTATTACAAAGAAGAATAAATTAACGATTAATTGGAACAGAGATGAGCAAAATCTTGATCGAATAGCAGACGAATTTAAAAATACAATGTGTAATAGCGATTAACTAGCGACGTTCATTTGATTGAACAATGTCTTACATTGAATGTTTACATGAAACAGCTTCGTTCAATTATTAACATTGTTCGACATATCCTGTATGCTTTCATTTTATAATTTCAAATTTCCATTTTTATTTGACAAATAACGTGTAGTGGTATATTTTTTATTCGTTATTGGAAATTTGTATCTAGATGAAGATTTTGCCCGGCTCTGAATCGGAACAAACGCTACCATGTAAACGTAAAAATAAATGCGATGCGAGCTAAACGTGTCGCAATATACCACTATGTTACCAATGAAGGTTAATATACGATAATATTAAGGAACTTCAGACGAGTATATATCAGAAAATGTTATCGTTGTGTCTTCATAGAAAAAAAAGGAAAAAAAAAAATTACAATTGATTCGTCGACGCGTGAATCCTCGAATCCCCTTCGCAAGTTCCTTCTCGGCTTCTAGTTGAATGCAAGGGTTCTGAAAGTCAAACCTGTATCGTGAACTGCCGAGCTTGCGACATCGAGACGATACGATTCCATTATTTTGGATACAGACAACGTTTACGTTCCACGAAGACAGCGAAGCGTTTAACCAGCAATTTTTCAGGATAAATTGTGTTTTCGATGGATGTTGCATTTAAGATTCCACCCCATCCACGACAGGCAATCATGTCGAACACAATTTGACTCGAGGGCCAAGTGGCAATTTGCCAATATGATTATCTTACAAGAGCAACGAATATGTTAAAGGTGATATCTTAAATTAAAAAATAATAGTTTTGGTTATTTTACCACGCTTAATTTTACTAATAACATATTGAGGTAATTATCCAGTTAAAAGAGTATGGAGTAATATATTATATTATGTATATCGAGCAACGTTTGCTTATTCAATTTTTTCCTGTGTTTCAGCCACATTTGTATCTATCACTCTGCATAATTAAAGAAACAACAAAGTCAAGCGTGTTCGATATGGTTGTTGCAATATTCACGTGCCCGATCGATGACCAATTTCACAGTACTGATGTATGAATGATTTCGTTCGACGGCATCTCTTTGCTTGAGATTCAATGTAATTTCCATAAAAATTTAGTACACATCTATACTCCAGAAATAAATTCCATCAAGTCCTAACTTCGGAAATTTGATACTTTAAATTACAATGAAAAATATAATATTGGGTCATGTGACTTAACATATTTTCTCAAATTTACAAAGTGTGGACACCATAGTTTGCCTCTGATGTAATGATATCCATTTTAAGTGATTCAGCCTTTTGCAGTTGCAGTCGTTTTTACTATAAAACAGTGAAATTAATTAACTGAAAAGGAATTTTACTGTTGACTATTTCTTTTAATTCTACTATATCGATTTTTAATATTATAATAATACGCGAACTAAATTGACGTAGCAAATAAAATTCAAATAATAGAGTCTGCAAAGGGTTGACTTGTAAGTCTAGGTATCGCAAACATAATTCATCGTACACTGTTTATTTATGTCAAGCTACGTTGACCCAAAAAAAATTTTGTTCGGTGTAGCATCAGCTGATAATTTACGAAGTCTAATATCTAGTGCGAAATGAACATTGTTCTCTGGAAATTCAGATTAAAATTTTAAACTTACCTGATCTCCCATTACAGCACAAGTTACTAACTAATTCACGCTCGTCATTGTATTTATACTGTCAATTAACCCTTTAAGGATGGAAGTGGCAAATAAACTACAGTATACCTTGCTGTTATAGAAACAAGTGCATATTTCATAACAATGATAAAATAAGGTGATTTATACCTTCGAAAAAAATAGATAAATAAACTATTTATTCAAAACAAGATTTGAATAACCTTATTTTATTATTCGAATGTGATATTAAAACAAGTAATAGTAATAAATGATACGTTAATTATTATTAACATAATTTTTGTTCACGAAGGTTCCAGTTCTAACTAAAATTTACATTGTATAAATAAATTTGTTTTCCTCTTTCCTTGAGTTCTACGAGAAAACAAACCGTGTAAAAGTGCTCGTCCTTAAATGGTTAAGAAATAAAATCAGACTGCACAGGATCATCCAGAAACAAACAGAAAACAATGCACTTATTACTTGTTCTAGATTTATACTTGAATTATAAATACGAACTAACGTCTACATGTATCGTATACATGTTGTAATCCCATTTTGATTGTTGGTACAATTACCAATCGCGAGGAAAACAATTTTAATTTCGTCGAAATCGAAGCGAGAGAAACGAATCTCGAGGGCCCGGCGTTTACAGTGTCGTCGAGCTCGTTATTAACAGTTAAGATTTAAACTAATCCTCGACCACGAAAGGAACTATGAACGGCTGTACGTAATGTAAAATAATAAGAGCAGAAAAACAGAGAGAGAATGTACCTATATCTATTCTATACGTGACACGTTGTCACGCAACGCGTGCATGTAAATTTATTATAAATAAATTATTATAAAGCAGCAACACTTTTACTGACACGACTACCGTTACGATTTATTTTCAGAACGTAGGGAAGAGTGGGGGATACTTGCACCACGTTTTTTGGTACAAGTACCGCAATTTCAAAAATTGGAGAAATGTAGTAATTTAATATTCAAGGAAATATTATTTATATATTACACTTTAATAAATACGAACAGATACACTTACTTTAATGATAGATTTAATTTTGGTACTTACTATTATATCTTGGTTACAAAACTAAACTAATATCGATAATTATTGTCATTTAAATAAAGAAATTGTTTCGAGTGGAACAATTACTTCAGATGTAATTATTTTCTCCTGTAAAACACAATTCTTTATGTCACCAAACGTACACAGTGTTTTCTTAAAAACTCAACGAACGGTTTATTTCATAATTTATTTAATTCGCTTGAAATAAAAACAAAGTATCATATAATGAACATGCGTTTATAAATTATAAGAATATTTTCGACGCTACATGCTACGCATTTATAATAATTGTACTGTCGCCAGAAAACTTACAAACGTTTCTCGTTTCGTGATTGTTTGAGGTAAGGAGCGAAGGAACGATCAGTCATTGACCGATTTCTTATTAATACTATTCGTTCTTGAAAATCAAGATCGCGTCACTATTCGATTCTTCGACGATCGGCACTCCAAATAATCGATTACAATAATTCCTTACTTAAACATAATTCGTCATTGACAACGTCCCAAAGCAAAGTATCTAAAACAATGTTCGAATAATTGATTCATAAATGGTTACTTTGGGAGTTATCTTTACATTGAATTATTAATTACTCGCAAATCAAAATTTATTATTCAATCCTGAAATTTCGATTAATATTCTTTCAAGTAGAGATTTAAACGAAGATATGTTAAAATAAATTGTACGAATCGTAATATAATTCATTCGTACATAATGTCGCAAAATGATTTCATTCGACAAGTTAATTTAAAAAAAAAAAAAAAAATGATTCGATTCAAACATAATTCACGGTGTACACAATCTATGCCGACGTCGGTACTAAATTTTCGACATGGTTACACGTCACGTTATCGACTAATTTCAATTATCGAATAAAAGAGACGAGGTTGTTTGCGATTACGTGTAGTATTACGTGGAATGTTTTTATTCTACGTGTATGCACATTTGTGTTATATACATAAATTATGCGTATTGTCGTCTATGCACGATATATAAATACAGCGTTTAAATACATTATCGACAAATGTGGACTGAAGTCTGCCTAGCCGACTAACAGGCACTCTTCACGGGCTTTAGCACGTTTTCAGTGAACTGACCGACGATGTTGCCCCTCGGATGGTAACACGCCACCACCACGCAACTTCCGTCTCTTTTGGCCATCGCTATACCCATCTCAGTGGTGTTCTTCCACACGATTTGCGTGAAATGACCTAATTGAAGAAGAATAAATAATTAGCGATAATTCCCATTGTATCTAGGCAATATAATTTTTACAAGGACATCCGAGCGTTTACAGTCCAAAATTTATTTTAAGATGGCTCTCTTTTTAATTGTAAAATTTCTAAATTGATCCTTTCATTCTTAATTCTGAATAGGTAAATGTAAATTAAATTAGTATTTTCTTAATAGTAAAAATAAATCGTGTTATTTAGTGATCTTTCGGTTGCGAATGAATTTTTACCAAATCAACAAACATCAAAGATGAAGATCTATGTATTTCAAGACTAGATTTCTTAATGCGTTTACGTAAACGTTTAGACTCGTTTTTGATACCACTTCTTACGTACATGTGTTTAAGACCTTTGGTTCCGTTCCAAATTTGTGATCCTTCTTTTCGGAGTACCACTTGGAGACTACCTCCCGTGCTGGTACAATTAGCTTCGGATCAGAACACTGCATCGAGTAGATGTTTTCCCCGTACGGGGACGATGATTGCGGGATCAGCTTGTTCGTGTTCAGCAACGTGTTCGCCCACGCCTATCGATAGATAAAAAATCGTAATCGAGCGTTAACTCTTGCCCTGGCGTGCTCGGTCAATCGCATCTTAACTTATCCTCGGGTAGGATTTACATTAAATTTCAATTATCCCATAAATCGTGCACATCGTTTATCGACTCGCAGCTTTATTAATTTAGAACGAAAAAATCATGGAATATTAAATTAGAAATCCTCGATTCAATTGAACTCTCGTGCAATTTTTAAGAAATAATTTTATTTTGAGAAATAATACTTGGTAGGTAATATTTATCATATTTATAGTAATATTGGGAAGAGTAGTGGTAATATTTTCTTTTAAAAGAACGGAAGAATTTTAATCTTCAAAGATCGTTAATGAAAATTATGGTTCTCTTTGACTTTAACCATTTCTTAGTTCTAATATCATTCTTATTTAAATTTCTATCCTTTTTTTTTATCCGACACAGAGATTAGCCTTTTTTAACTTTGTTTTTCCTCAGCTTGGAGTTCTGTTCTGACCCACACGCTGCGTCAATGTAATAATAAAATAACAAAAGTTCGAATGTACCTTGGCAGCAGCCGTCAAATCTGCGCTTAACCTCAAGTCTGGAACACGGTGTCTTCTCCTGTACTCGTTGTGCACGAGCAACGCTTCCTGTTGCCAGGTTTGCTCATCTAGCGAGTATCGCGGCAGGAAGGTGATCTTTTTCGTGGGACTCGAACCACCAGGCGGAAGGACGTTCTCCGTGAAACTACCAAGATAGTTCCCGGCTGGGTTGTAGTTGCAAACCACGTAAACCTCGCCGTTTCGGTTCCTTGCCATGCCGACACCTAGCTCGGTGCTGTCTTTCCACACGACCTGGGTGAAGTGGCCAGTCTTCAACGTGGTCGGCTCCTTTCCGTATTGATGCTGGGCCTCTTCGGCGTACCTGCGGCAATGCGTCAAATATATGTAAATATCTGTAATATACAGTATGTAGTACACAGAGTAATATAATATACAGAGTATTATACGAAATGTTCAGGTTGATGTGGTCGAGTTATTTCTCGATACTTGAAGAGTTCTTGATAATAGGAATCTTTTGTATTGGAGACAATTGGTTTATTGGTGAAGGGGTCACATTTGAAGGTAAACTACAATTTCTGAAGAGAAATATTCCGTTATTTTATAGCAGAATTCTACAGACCAATGTCCAATATTTTGATAATAATAGATTAAATTATCGATAATAGGAATCTTTTGCATTGGAAACAATATGTTTATTTGTGAAGGGGTCACATCTGAAGATAAACTACAATTTCTTAAGAAGAATATTGAGTTCTTTTACAGTAAAATTCTACAGACCAATGTATTACAATATTTTGAAAATAATAAATTAAATTAGCGATTGTTCAATCTAAGGCTGACTCACCATTCATTCACAGGCTCGTCGCCACTGACGATAGTCTTCGGATTGGAGCTCCACATGCAGTACAGGTTCTCGCCATAGTCTATGTTTGCCCTATGCTCTAACCTACCCCTAGTTGCCAGTATGTTGGCCCAGTCCTGACTTGTTTTACATAACTGTAAATAATCAAAAAATTCGTTGGAAAAATATATTTTGAGAACTTGCAAAAATATATTTTCTTTTTAATATTAATACTTTAAAACCTTAATGTATAAAAAGGAAGTAACCTGTTTGCTGAGACGCAAAGGTGGCACTCCATGCCTCGAGCGGTAGAAATTGTGCGTTTCGAGGCAACCGTTGATGAATTCCTTCGGAGGCCCCGATCTGCGCACAGATGGTTTACGTGTGTCAGTCTTTGTTATCTACAACACACAGAGAGAACGTCGAGTAATAGATAATATTTCAACAATTGTCACAAAACGATCTACGCGTATTAATCGAGGAGCAAGTCGAATTTCATTTTCAGAATGGAAAAAGGAAAGTGAATCTATGAACGATATTCAACAAGCCATTGCTAGAATGTGTACGATAAATTCTAATCAAAAGATACGATAATAAACTTATTTTATTTATTTTATCTAACGTCCATACTGCGCAATTACGTAAGAGTACATGTAAGGTGAGCATGTTTTTCTGTTGACACCTGTAGAGAAGAAGCGAGATTTAACTAAAGTGGCGTTTTTTAATTTAACCTCATGAATAACAAAAAATTGATTGCTTGTCAAATGTGAACATATCAGAAATGACGTAAGACTATTCAAGCACGAGAGACGAAAAATTATGCTCGCTAGGCTTACGTCAGTCCTGACGTGTTTCGGAGCAATCAATTTTATTTGAACACAGTTTTATTGTAATATTTTCTTTGAATCTCAAATATATTATCTCGAATAATCTCGAATATACTTTTCACTTTATTACTCGATTGACTGGAAGAAGCGATTTCCCATCATCCTATCGCAAACGATTCATTTCCTTAACGACAGTCAGGATGCAAATTATCGTTGAAACGCCGCGTCTTTTTACTTCGAGAAGGATTTCCGGTTTTTAGCCAGGGGATCCTTCGATTCTTGCGAAACCGACGACAAAAGCAAGAGTTTCAAATGCTTCCGTGGGATTTTCAGATTTTAATTCGAGGTTCGAACGGTTGACAGGATACTGACGAGGCTGTTGTTCGCGATATTCGACTAGAAGTGCCAACTTCGGATATTTGCACATGTTGGATCCTCTATAGTCTACGCCAGCGTTTCTCAAACGCGACAGAAGTACATTAAGAATGCCTTCTGTAATGTTTTATTTACATTTGATTAAGGTAATATGAGCTGTTACATTTATAAATGGAATAAGTGCACTTTGGAGCTAAAAAAATCGTTTACTTTTTGAAATACTTTTAATAATTACTATTTTATAATAAAATTTAAAAGGTGTATAGTGTTGAAAACATCACTCGAATTGATCAGCGTTTCCCAATACTTTTAAATTAATTCAAATGCAAACTCTAAAATATCTCGATACATGAAAAAATGGACTTATTCCATTTTCAAATATCATATATTACACAGCTCATATATTACGTAGTCTATAAGTTAAAATAATTTGAAAGCGTCGATGCGACAGCTATACAAAGTACGTATAAATAAACTCACAAAATTTAAAATTGGTATGCCCAAAACCATTCTCCCTAAAAAATTTAAAATACCATCCAATATTATGTCAGGACTCCAAACTGAGCGAACAATTATAAAGTTCCCAAAGTAAACGTTACTTAAACCCCTTTTCAAACTTCTCTTACAAAATAATTGATCCACGTTACGCAACAAGGAGACCTCCACGCTTCGTTTAAAATCGTTCTTGAAACGTCGAATTGTAAAAAGGTGGTCCGAAGTCGCGGAGGTTCCCTCGCGTTTTGTACGCCTATTTATAATCCCTTTTCCTCGCCGCGCCGTTCATTGTCGTAAACGCGGGTGTGTAGCACGCGAGTAGAAAGAATAAATAGAAAACGAACGGGAACGTCTCGGAGACAGGAGGAGACCGCTTTGCGCTCGGACACAGCGTAAAGCGGTGCCGAGAGAAAAATCGGCCTCAGAAGCATGTGAAGCCGAGTCACGGAGCCGATTAGTCACCGTTGCGAGAGTAACGATTTCCCGAGGCGGTGCACGAGCATTCAGACGTGTCTCTCGGAAAGGGAACGATCCTGAGTCATCGACAGATGGCAACGTACCTTGATGTCGCTCGACTAGCTCCCAGGTAAACGTCTTTCAACGAGGCGTCACGTGTGTCAACACACAGAGTGGTGTATTCGGAGCAAAGTGGGTGGAATTAACAATCAACCCTCTAATTATGTTTACCTTCTGAAGGAAATTCCACGATTGAGCCATCGATGGTCACTGACAGTGAGATTTCTTATTAGTGTTTATCGAAGGATTTATTGTGGTATTTTTTTAGAAGTCAGAATTAATTTGGGTCGTAGAAGTCTAATAATGCGTTCATCGCCACGTCACACTTATATGAATGACGGATTTTTACTAAAAAATTAAATATGTACATTAACTATTTGATCTATAACAACGTGTGAGACTCGTGGTACAGAAATTGAGTCGAACATGGAAAACATTAGTCAGACGCATCGTGTGAATTTTATACCTGGTTATGGCATTCACGACCCTACAATAAATCGTAAGTCAAAGGGTTAATTCTCAAGCGGAGGTGTTACAGAAAATAAATGTGGGTAGCATCGATGAATTTTAAAGAGGTTGCAAAAATGAGTTCTATTACAAACGTTAGATTATATAATTTTTAATTGTATCGAAGCAAAATTTTAGCCTCGTAGGAATTTTCACGATTATTAGTTTGCCAGTCAACGTGTTAATGCGTTTCTGATTTCCGCTCTCCCTAAAAGAAATTCTCTTCTAAAAGATAGTCACTGTCAAAATCGATCGATTCAAATCGATAGTCACTGACAGTGAGATTTATTACTAGTGTTCATCCAAGAATTTATTCTGGAATTTTTGAAAAGTCAGAAATAATTTGAATTGTAGAATTCTAATACTTAATGCGTTCCTAATTTCCACTCTCATAATGAACAGCACGTATCGCTAATGACCAGACTGCGGATCTTTATGCATTTATAGGAAATTTGAATGTGCAAGAACCTACAAAATGCACACAATATGCAAGAATATAAAAAAGATCGAAAGTAAAGTTCATGTTATAATATTTGCAGAATAAAATATATTCATATTTAAGTTTAATTTTTGTAGGCACGTTCGAACCTACAAAATGCACATAATATGCAAGAATATAAAAAAGATCGAAAGTAAAGTTCATGTTATAATATCTGCAGAATAAAATATATTTTTGTTTAAGTTTAATTTTTGTAGGTACGTTCGCGAAGATTTTATTTTGCATAAACATCCGCAGTCTACTAACGACTTACAGTGGACTTATGTCTAGTCGATATGGCTGGTATGTTTACCGGTGTCGACGAGTATCTTGCGGAATCAGGCGACGCTGAGGAGGACCTGGCGCTGCTGTAAGACATGCCATCGCTTCCCAGGCTACCGTGAAAACTACCGTGCAGGGAATTCGACAGTGGCCCTGGAGAAGCTGGCGACGCCGTCAAAGGGGACTTCGATCTCACCGAATCTGTCCTCGACCTGCAAGTAAAATCGATTGAATGACGAATGCAGAAACACAAAGTGCTTCATTCAGTTTCGAAACAGTGACACTCAGTGAGCGCCGCGCGCGTTCGAATCAAGCAACTTCTATGGAAAGTATCCGTCGAAACAAGGAGCCTGATTGTCGAGCCACGATTAAAGCTATTGCAAATTTCGATCTAACTCGATTCGAATCCTCGAAGCCAATCGGCTGGAAGGAAAGCGGTGCGTCGAACTCTCTCTTCTTCGAATCGCGCTCGCAAGAGCGTACAGGGTAGTCGAACGTGATTCAATATACATACTAATGGAAGTAGGTCTCTACGGACGTTTTGCGAGCCATTCTTTTCAACGATACAATTAAGTGTCCCACGGGTAATACTCAAGAGCACCGAGGACTTAAGAAGGTACTTGTTTATTTTTACCAGTATACAGAACACATTTTGAAAGAAAACGTCTAATTTGGTCAATTATTGGCAGAGCTGTGGCAATTTGAAAAAAGCGACGTTCATTTGTTTGAATTCGTGACTTTGTTTGGTCCAGTACAAAAATCTACAAAAATTCACAAAAAGGTATTTAGTAGGGTACTATAGTATACAAAATTTTCAGCCAAATCAAAAATGGTTGAAATGGATTGAAATGCCCCATGCATATACAGTCAGTGTAAGAAGTATTCGTACAGCAATTCATTTAAAATGAATGGTTCCTGTACGAATACGTATTACACTGACTGTAAATACATAGTTTAAAAAAAAATGTACTTTCTTATCCAAAATAAAAGAGTACCGACTTAACACTGTCAAGAATGCAAACTAAGCGTACTGACTAAAATACAGTAACATTCGACATTTATTTCTAATAGTCGAATTTATTTATTTACCAAGTTTCGTTTGCAGAGTCGCACAGTTCTGCGTGCGTATTTCCAGCAACAAAAGAAAACATGGAACGACTGATTCTTTACCGTTTTCTTTCTCAATCCATTTTGAGCTACTAATGTGTTCGTTTCAAGGTCCTTCGCATACCGAATATTTCGCGCGTTTTTCTCCAGCCGTCTACACTCGCTGCAACATATGCGCGACATGTCTTTTGATGGTTCGTCGGAATACCAACATTGCCCGCCTCGCAGATTCACCAGATGTTTGTCAAATTCTCAATTCGGCGGGTCTATTACCCCGAGCTGCCAGATGTTCGTCGAATCATTCATTCGAAGTTACGTTCAGTGAGATCTGTTAATTTGCTGAACGTTCGTTTGCGGATCAATTCGATTAGCGAAAATTTGATTTGCACTTTCTGTGCACTGGATGTGACATTTAATTTTGCACCAAATTGATATTATTATTACTGCGATATTAAATTGGATACCTTGTTGCACCAGTTGCAAAATAAGAGCATAGGCCTTGGTTTTAAACCTAGCCTCGGATAATAACCCTGATGTATTTAGAAAATATATATTCAAACGTACGAGACATACAGAACTATTTTCTAGAGCGTCAGTGTATCATTTAAATGTAAAAAATACCCACAAAATTATAACTTCTTTACATTTATTCCAAAAATACAGAATAGACAATTTTATTAACACCTTAGACTCACCCTGTACGCAATCTCCGCGTTTTGAGACTTTCCTTGACACGTTCATCGCCAGTAATCTGCAGTTAACATTTTTTAATACTACGCCACTGTTTGTTACATGTTTCATAAGTAAAGCAATCATCTTCGAAATGATTCTCATTTAGTTATATTATAGAAGCACGAAATAATCAGAAAAATTTGCAGAAAACAAAATGAAGATTTAACGAAAAAGTCGTAAAAAGCCAAGACACTTTCTTTATAAACTCTCTGCGTACAATTGTATTCCGATTACGATTGGCATATGTGTTTCGTTTGGAATTCTATGAAATCTCCGATGCATCAGGCACCGTGGCAAAAAGAATGTAAGTGCATTGTCTGCAAGCATGTTTAACCCATTCGTTTAAGTATATGCAAAGGTGCACTGAAATTGGAGAAAACAGGAAGTTTCTCCGGAATACGTTGATATTCTTCCGCAGTTAAGGGGTTAAGTGAACGATCAAAAGCTGAAAAGGCCGTAGAAAGCGTGCATAAGACGTGTACTCGATGGAATAAATATAGTAATCTCATAACAAGTGCAGGATGCTGAGATGGTAAAGACATCGACTAAAGAGTAACAACAATCCAAGAGTCTAGCTCACAAAGAGATTTTTTCTGGATGATGGGACTTTAAGAGGATTCGAATTATTCTCCTTCAATTTTAACGATAGATATCTTTTTAATTATATTATCAAATTCATCAATTGATATTATTTTACACGCAAATATACATATTTTAATTCCCAAAGGAGACTTATCTTTAAACGTTTATACTAGAATATATCCTTAAGGTAACACACTCTGTATACACGCTATACATACTGTGAACATCAATCTCTGTCGTCGAAGTGGTCGTAGTGCAGTTGTTACAAGCAAACCAGATCGCTATTTTCATTTTACTATTTTCGCATTTACACGTGTATATATTTCTCATTAACGACTACACTAGACGTACACATACTCGAGAACATGTAGCAACCGTAATTTAGATCGATTCGTCAATTCCTGAAGGGTAGCTAAAAGGTAATTGAAAATGTAGACTGTTTATAACATCCATTATTTTATTACAGGCTTCGAAGTCTACCGAGTTGATTGATAACCACTTCGCCAGAAAATATTCCATTACCTTCTGTAACAAAATTCGTATCCAATCAAAACGAGAAATCCATGGGTATCCATGTTAAAAATAAAAGACAAGCATCCTGACCCAATATTCGATGATGGAACCTGGAAATGCGATGTCAAAGGTACTCCTCTATTAACAAGAGAGAAGTGTTACATTTGAACGTGCATTCTACGATTCAAAGATACGCGCGCCGTTGTGATATGCATACTCATTGAAATTGCAAAGGAAAATAATATGAAAAATCAGTGAACGGTATTCGAATCAGTGACCTCCAGCACATGTACCGTTTGCTTCCAACATCTGCGCCACTTCGATGACAGAGATTAATATTCGCAGTACAGATTGCAATGTATGCAACCCTAATTACCTGTATCTCTGAAAATCGTCGAATTGTTACAGCTAACGTTCTACATGTTGCACGTAACATTTTAATTCTTTTCTGCTGCAAAAGGTGTCACAGTTTCCTTTCAAAGATTAAACTTTACTTTGGGGCACACAAAATGTGTTGAATTCTTTTTTTTTTAGTGATTCTTGATGCTTAGAATACAAAAATGTGAATTTTAACGATAGGAACCCCGTGGTTAAAAAGTTATGCGTATGGAAGTTTGAGCATTATTGGCTTATTAGCCTTCATCAAAAACTACCCCCAATCTACTTAGACAGTGTATCCGTGTAGACAGTACATACATCAACAGTATTTAATATCCCCTCCTCCCCAACAAATACACCAAACCTACTCAGACAGTATTCGACAGCGATCGAGAAAACATGTTTTACCATTTTAATATACATGTATGGCGTCGCAGTAACGACTCAGTGTTCAAATTTGCATATGAATATCTTTTTAACAGCTATATTCCTAACATTAAAACTTGTATTTTTCCGTCACAGTCATCAAAAGCACCTAAATGGTAAAAACAAAAGTCAATAATTTTTCGTGCCTCAAAGTTAAGCCGGAAAATCTTGTACTGCTCGTTACATTTTTCGCATTCCTGTTGCTTCCCATGTGCGTCAATAATTCCGTGACTAATCGTGTTTGCTCTCTCGACTGTGCGATTCCGAGTGTCACGATGATCGTACAGGATCGTTACAATGCACGCGGAAAGAATCGAAACGATCGGGATAGGTTAGGGGATATCTCTTAACGTGCGCCGTGAAATTGCACGAGTGCCTCTAATCTATTTCTAGTGTGTGTTCCACCGCGGGCTGAATACTACGGTGTCTGCCCCGCAAACAATTTACGTTCGCGGACGTCGCGATCGCTGCGAGCGAGCAGCTAGCCGCCGCAAAATCTACGATCGACGCATGCGAGATTATACGTTCGCTAATGAATAGCAATTTTCCTCGGGCGCAGTTAACTGCGAGTTCGTCTGCGCAAGATAAATGGCCGCGGAAAAACAACCGAGCCCGGATTATCCCCGAGTAATTGTATCCGACGCGACCCAGCTTTGCCATAAACAATTTGCCAACTTGACGGATTTATACGTCCGCGGGGGAACCGCGTGTACGCTGCGCTATGGCCACGGATAGGATTTTTAATCTAAGAGTTCTCGCGGAGCTTCGTTGATGAGTATAGTTCTGGAATGAAAGAAAAATGGGGAGAAAGGGGGTGGAGATATTTTTTTGATCTGGGAGAAAGTAGGTCGGCGTGACAAAGTTTTGCTATGTACTCTAACAAAATTATTTTATTACATAACCAATGTCTATTTTTAGTTTTTTTTTTGTTAAAACATACGTATTTAGCAGTCTTAATGTGTAAGAAATAGGGGGTTCGACTTTGGAGCACTTTTGAACCATCAATTTTGACGCTTTTTCGTAAATCGAAAAATGTTTTTTTCACTATTATTTTGGTACAAGAATTCTGTCGAAGCAAGCTCTTAGATAATTGATTTTCATTAATTTAATTTTAATATTAAGAAAGTTATGCAATAAAAACTCTGTCGATTGTGGTCACTTACCTGTAATAATAATTCTTGGAACCATATCTCATAGAAATAACTCAAACATATAAACATGGGCAGATTAGTTACTAACTAAAAAATGATACTTGATCCGCAGAACTCTCAAAACCTGATCATAATAATCTAGGACTTTATGGGATCTCAGAGATAAGAAAAACACTGCGATTGGAGAGGCCTCTTCAGACCTAATAAGGATTAGAAGCGGATGATATCGATTTGAACGAATCTAACGTGATCGAGCGATATCCTACAAGGTCGAGTGTTGTACCTTAAGTCCGTATCGAGACCCGTTTAGCACGAGCTCGAGG